TTAATAAGTAAAGTTAAGAGCTATTATAAGCTAATACGTAGAGTATACGAGATCTTAAAAGCTAAATCTTATAATATAAGCTTAGAATCGCTATTCTAAGGAATAATTAAAGTAATAAACGATATTATTAAGCTTAACGGTCTAATATTAATACTATTTATATTCGGGGCTATACCTAGGATAATTACTAACTTAGTATTTATAGTAATTTAAATATAATACGCTAAAGCTATTAATAAAGTAATAGCGGAATTACAGTAAATAGTTATTAAGCGGAAGGTTAATAATATATTAAATATATATAATAGATTAAATATAAAATAATTATTATTAAGATCGTTAAAGCTAGGAAGTAATATTTTTATATTCCGAGAATAGGAGAAATAAACTAAATTTTATAAAGTTATATTAATTATTAATATAATAATTATAATAGATATAGTTAATAGCTTAATAGGGTTTAGAGGAATATATATTAAGCTATATAATAGATCGCTAGATTAGGAAACTAGGGAGATAATTATAATCCGAACTCTAGAAGTATTTATATTAGAGACCCTAGAATTATTCGAATATCTAGAGCTAATTTAGCTATATTAATATAGAAGATTTAGGAAATTAATAATAATATATATTTAGAATCTATTATAAATAGTTTCTATAGATCGTAAGAGTAATATAATTAAGGGTTTATAGATTAAATATTAGTTTATTATAAAGAAGGAATAATAAGGTTATAATTTAATTATTAAATTATATAATAAAGATAAAATAATAACCCTTAGGAAGCTATTTAAGTAATCCGATTAAGAGGAGATCGATTCGCTTTTAATAATAAGAATAATTATATTAATTAATAAATCTACGGTCCCTAGTACTAGGATCTTTAGATATCGATTTATAAAAGAGGTAAAAAGCCTCCTTTAAGCCCTATATAAGAAGTTAAGATTAATAGTTTAAGGCTATAGTAATTAAGAGAAGACGACCCTATTAACGTAATCGCTTATAATTATATAATATAATTAATAATTAATCTTAGCGATTATATTAATATTATAAGAACGTAATTAATAATTAATATTCTAGGATATTAATTAAATTTATATTTAGAATATTATAGATCTATTATATAACGTTCTACTATATATCCCTAAAGAGCTATAATATAGATACTCTAATAATATTATTTTCTATATTATTAAGCTATTCTATATAATTATATAGTTAAGCTTCTATTAATTTATAACCTATTAATAATATTATAGAGAGCGCTTAATAGCGGTTCTAATAGGCTATAATCTATATCTCTTATTAATTAGAGCTAGAGAGAGCTTTAGATTAATCGGAATATAGATTAACGATACCCTAAACCTTAGAGAGCTTATATTTATAGAAAAGGAGTAAATAGAGCTTTTAAGAGTTAGCTTCTAAACGAAGCCTACTTTTATCCTAAATATTAATTTAGAGGGCGTCTTTAATAATTATATTATTAAAATCGGAACTAATAATCTTAAGATTCTATAGAAAGGTTAAAATAATTAATTAAAATAAATAACTTTAAAGATATTAGATTTAGAGTAGTAATTTATTACTTAGAGAGCTTATAGTATATATATAGCTTCTACCTATTAACCCGAAATAGCTTTCGATTTCGCTATAATTTCCTAAATTAAGAACTTAGAGAAGGACGATTTTAATTAGCTTAATAAATATATATAATAATAAATCGATAATATAGACTATAGCCTAAATTATATACGCCTCGATCTATTAACCGTTTAATTATATATATTTATTAATAGCTCTTTTGCTAATAATAAAGACTTTAATTCTTAGATTAGATTCGTTATCCTCTTTAATAATAAATATTCCTATAATTAAGAGAATATATTTATAATATATAATAATATTCTTTATTAATAATCTATTAAATATAAATAGGTTATACGTTTAATTTTAATTAGCGAAATCTATAATATAGTTAATAGTTTTAATATAGTATATATCCTTAAATAGATACTTTAAAAGATCTATAAATACTTAGATTTATTATTCTTATAAATAATTATTTATATTAATAGCTTCTCGTTCTATTAATATTTTATTTAATTAAATATAATTATAGAGAAATACTTAATAATAGATCTTATAATATTATAATAAAGCTATAAAGAATACGAAATTAACGAAATTCGCTAGATCGTAGGAAGGGATAATCCTATAGATATAATAATTAAAGGAGCTCTAAATTAAATATTAGAAGCTTTTATAAGCTTTAACGAAGTTATAATTAAGATTAAAGGTTAGATTAAATATTAAGAAAAGAATAATTAAAATATAAATATAATTAAAATTAATAACTCCTTAAAAATAGCTTAATTATTAAAATAGCAATTTTGTTCCGCGTGGAATGCCCGCCGCCCGCGCCGGTTTCCCCCTCTGGAAATGGCGGTTGCAGGTGGGTCGCTTCATCCCCCCACCTCACGCCTGCTCCCACCACGAGATTCGCTCTTTTCTGCCGCCCCCTCCAAGGTACGTATCTTTTTCTGCCGCGTATAAAGTCAACGTCACGCCCTCATGAAAGTCCAAAATTTGTGCCTTCTTGATCTTTTCTGCCACGACCCAGAACAATGCTCTTTTTGGCCGTCTCATCACCGTTTCGTCACCGTCTCTGCCATTATCGCCGTTATGGTCCTTTCTCTCAGATGCCTTTGCCAGGTTCGTGTGATATCTTGGAGACCTTGTTAGGAACCTCAACTGCCATGGCTTGAGGATACTTGGCCCTGTTCATTGCCCCTGGCTAACGACTCGCAGATCCTCTCCAACGCTCTCCATCTGCAGCTAGCGAATCACTCGGACTCACCGCATCGCTCTGGATCCTGACCCTGTCCTCGGCCACAACACCACCCATGACAAGGTCAACTCTCACGTTCATGAGGCGAGACACGAACCGGGCCTAATCTGCTGCTCAGCACGGGAATGAGCCTTTTTGGAGACGATGTCACCTTTCAGGCACGAATATCAAGTATGTCAGGGTGTCTTTTGGGAGTAGGCGCGTGTGCCATGGCATTCGGCGTGTCCGGCGATGCCGCCTTCATGCTCCAGACACAACTATGGAATATTGGAGGCCTCATCTCATCCCCGCTCATCCAATGAGCGCCCTTGATCATACTCACCTCCCCCTCCTGGGCCTTCGGATATCGCTACACCCCTCGGGAGAGTGGCGTCGTAGATTGCAAATACAGCCGAACCACCGCCGGGCATGACCGTGCCGACGTGCATCTGGACATTGCGATCTGACAACCTCGCAATCAGCCCGCTAGGCTGACTCGTCTTTATTGATATTGGCCTCAGCTCCGCTGAACCCCCGTCACGTCCAAGCCGACGAAGATCTTATGCCGAGCCGGTCTCGGCCTGGCTCGATACGAGTTCGGGTGAGACTTTTTAGGGCGCAGGCTTGCTGGTTGCCCTTGGGACTGTCTCCTCAGGCAGAAGCAATGCCCATGATTGGCGAGAGAACGAGCAGGCAAGGGGCTGATCACTTGCCCTTGCCAGAACTGCAACGCTGGAGGCCCTCAATCATGAACCAAGGCGGCACACCGCTTTACCAATGGCCGGACGGAGACTCATGAGACCCGAGGCGTGATACAGCCGCCGTGACGGGTCGATGATCATCACGCGGCGGCAGTCAGGGCCTTGCCTGGAGTTCCCATGGAAATCCCTCAACCAGGTACGTGAGACATTCTCGCGGGGGCCGGTCGCCGGTATTCCGATGAATCCGCGGCCCAGAGTCACGAGCCACGTCAGCAAGCTAGGGACAGGACTCAGCCGTATGACTCTTCAGTGGCAGCGGTGAGACTTGTGACGGCACACCCTTGGCGCTAGGGACTGACGAGACGACCGAGCAGTTTCGACCGAGATTCCCGTTGGGGGCACGAGTGGAAGACTGCTTGGTAAGCCTTATCCGCCCAGGCCATCATCGGCGATATCAGGGGTTCACGGCAGGACGCTCCCAACATCCAACTTGCTCTGGGATTTGGCATCCTTGCTAATCTTGAGCGTTTCGGGTGATGCGAGATGCGTCATCATCAATTGGGTAACATGCTCTTTCGGGAAAGAGCTCGGCTTTGGCGAGGAACGAGGCAATGTCACTCGGTATTTCCGAAAGAGGGTATTTCCCCAAGCGGAAAGAGTCAGCTCTGCTCATGTCCCAAGTTCAAACTATAAGACTCGCCTTTACCTCTCATCTAAAAGGGGCATCTCCAGCAAGATCACTCGTCAAATTCTGCTTATGCACACCCCGTTCAACCGTCGTTTCTACCATTTTATCCTCCTTTGCCACAATGAGTCGACCATTCCAGAACTACGACCCTTTCACCAAGAGCTTCAGGCCATCCCTATCCAAACAATCCCATAGCCGAGCATCCGGAGGCAAGAGACCTGGCGGGGTAAGATCCAAGTTGGTGTCGCGCCCCAGTCCAGAATTAAGCGAGCAGAGTGTCGACTTCCCCGACGATGAGTTTCGACCATCGGAACAGCTTTCAGTCACTACTGGTGTGATCGATCTCACAAGAACCGATATTGTGCCGCCGCCAGAACAGTATGGGAGCCCGGTGAATCAGAACTACACGGAAGATTCCAGCTGTCAAGGTTGATAAGTTCCAAAGCAATTTTGTTGGATGCATATGCTGACTTGGCACAGAGAAACAGAATGACAACCATGTGGCCGACGACAGACCTATCGACTCAGCCCCCCCGTCTTACATCAATGCACCGAAACAACATGACAAGCCAAGCACGAGCGACGCACAAATATCAAACCTTACAGTGTCGGGTACCGATGATTGTCTTCGTACCAACGGTGCTCGCCATAGAGCGTCACCACTTGCGAAGTTGAAGGAGACACGCCTTCACCTAAGCAACGGAGATCAGTCAGTGGCTCTCATTGACCCTTCTGTTCATGATGCTGGGCGTCTCGATTCCCAGTCTCTGCCGACCAATATTGGTAAGTCTGACGCTTCGCAGGCATGTTCGACCTACTGATTCACACAGCCGAAATCAACGTCGCACTTGTAGAAAATGATGCCGGGCATGGTATTACGGCAACAGGAGACCATGAAGTCACTGTACTAGCTTCTGTTCGCAATGAGAACGATGTTTGGGAATCCCCGGTCAAGACTGATGAAGATCAACTCATGGTTGACATGGGCAACCATGCCAACGGTCAAATTGGCAAGTCTATTCGAAGTACTTCCACCGGATCGGAACAGGGCCAACCTGTTGATGTGGTCGCCGATGGAGATTGGGAGATCACTGAGTTGATCGGGAAAGAAGTTATACAGGGCAAGGTACACTACTTGGTTCGTTGGCAGGCAACTCTTGTGCCAGAGGACGAGATCAATGCCCCCGAACTAATAGGCAGGTTTGAGGCGAAGTTCGGGGTGAAGGCAAGTCCACATACGGGGTCCTCCAGGGTTGCAAAGCAGACTCGCCCAACGAAGATGAGGAAGACCGACGAGGAGGCAAAAGTACGTCGTCGTCGGGGACGGCCTCGTAAAGGTCTGACGTGACCGGGAGTTTCGGCAGGGTGGCATGGCAACAGGGAGGAGTAATTGCGTTTCCGACCACTTCATCATGCCATACCAATGATTCTCCATATTATTTTACTCGCGACTCCGATCTGTTCATCGAATGTGAACAAATACTCGGGGAGAGCTTGAGCCTCCGCGCCTTCACCCTTACACTCGCAGACCGTCTCGGCAGACGCTCCGTGGTTTCGCCAATACCCTGGCTACCATCAGTGTATTGCTAAGCATGCGAATGACGGGAGCGAGGGACCATGTACGGAAGCTCAGTGGCCAGTTAAGTGAATCAATCGGAGAGCAGATTGCCTGTAGAGGCCGGCGCCTACACTCGACCACCTATGTACCCTTAGAATCTCATCGTATCGAAGCCCTGACTGATCCTGTTGATCAGTGACATGTATATTACCAGGAGGGGAACACCAACGACATGTTTTAATAAGCAGATTCAGCAGAACTGGGTTCGGGGCAAGGATGGATTCATCGGCGGAGTCCGGCAGAATCGTAAAGCGTACACGCCCGACGAAGATGGTAGAGACGAACACACATGGTGGCACGTCAGAGTACAAGGAAGCTTCGCAATCAGCCGGATTGGTGGCACGGCGGCGGTGGGGTGGCTCGGCCTTGGTCGACCAATTAGAGAGCTCACCGCCCAGCAAGAACAACCAACAACAGAGGCTGATTTGCCCCAAGGCATGGCGGCATCCAGAGGAGAACTTAGCGCCAACGAGCGATGTTCCCAGATCCCAAACCATAAAGCGTTGGACCGCCGCACTCTGTTTTTTCCTTAGCTCTGGTCACCTCTACAACACAACTTTCTGGCGAAACATGGAGCACCCAGAGAAGCTCGGCTCCGCTGCCCTTGATGCTCACATTGACAAAGCCTACCCGACTTTGCTGATATCATAACTTGAGTTGCCAACAAGCAAAGTGCCGCAGAAGGTGCCGCCAGCATGAGGATTCCCATACTCCAACAGACGATCGACACGAAGCAAGAGGAGCTTGAGCGGTTAATGGAGAAGATTCAGCAAATCAAAACAGAGCAGGAGGCTAACAGGCAAGAGATTGCGTGCCTGAAAGCCAGGGCTGAAGCCGCGAAGGAACGTTCACGCAGAGTAGCAATGCTGGCAGAAAGTATTTCTGAGAAGACCGGGTCTTTGAAGCACGCTGGTTCCTCGGTTCGTACCGTTCCAAGCAGTTCAGCAGCGTCGCAGGATACGACTTCTTGGGCTTCCGTCCAGCCCCACTGCTCTTCAACCCCTCCGTCAACCAGCTCAGACATTGGTACGCTTGAACCAGGCGCGGCAAACGGTTAGTGTGTTCTTCGATCCCGCCTTGAATGAGAGATTGGGCGTTTTTATGGTCTCATACTATGATACTAATGCGGATTTTCAAGCTGCCGGCTTGACCAGCGATGGAGCTAGTTCCTCTAGTTCGCTGTTTCAATCTCGGCCAATCGCGGTTTCCGAGCTCCGAGCCGTGTTGCCACCTCCGGAGGGCCCTGACATGGCGTTTGTTGAGTTGATGAAAGCCTTTTCAAGCAGGATTGGCAGTGGCTCAGGACAGGCACCCAAGGCCCGGTGGCTGACGATGGTGAAAAAAAATACCACTATTGGACCAGACAAGACAGTACGTTGTATGGTGGTTGAAGAACCAGTATTGCAGGACAATATCGCAGTTGCGGCGTCTTGCGACGATAACATCTCTACCTATCAACCTTGCTCTGCACAGTCACCCACTTGTGGCACGGATGCACGCCGATCGACACGACGCCGTAAGACACTACGCCACTTTTATCCTGATGTTTCATCCTCACCACCCACTATCACGAATTGGGGCTTGTCCTGGTGTCAGAAACGTCGTCGACTCAATGAGGATGATGTTCATTTAGGCCGATCTGAGGATCCTACGCACGACCAACAGAGTTCCGGGGGGTTCAGGAAGGTTGCCACTTAAGACGTTTGCCGGTTCAACAAATTGGAAGCCCTCCTGATGTTGAGCCTCAGGGGACTCTACTGAAGAAGAAGTCTTTCGAAGGCATCGCATATCCAGATGTGGGCGGACTGTATCTTGGAAGGTAGGGCTCTTCCTCGGCCTCGAAGCGATCTACCTGGTATGCCATCCTTGCACTCCCTCTTGGTGACTTCAAAGGCGTGGAAATTGCTGCTATATTTCTATTTGTTACAGAAGTGGTCAAAAACATATTCATGGTTGGAAGGATGGGTACGAAGATGGTTGTCCTCAGGTCACAAACTGAAAGTTCCCAGTGTTGTGGTTTCAGGATGATGAGTATTTGGTATGGGGTGGAGAGAAATCTCTGTTCCCTTCTGCGGGTTCTTTCTCATGGCTCCCTGTCAGCAAGATATGATCTTTCAACGAGTACGGGCCCGACGGCTCTCCCGCTTCTGGCTACGATGTTGCATCAAAGTTTTCGACCGAATTGGAGGATATAGAGAAAGCGAAGAGTGCTTGCGACGAAGGGTAGTTACATTGCTTCGAAAGAAGCATCTGAGGGTAGGTTCCGCAGGTATGCGCTTCCATACTTGAACGCTTAGTGACCATAGTAGAGAACGATTGCTACCAATCACCTACCCCTTCGCATAGTTCATCTCGGTCAAGCCAGACCGAGTGTCAGGGCACAATTGCGGTATCCCGTTCCCCTCAGATGATAGGCGCGTGGGCAAGTGCGGAGGCGTTGGAGGTACATATAAGGAGCTGCGGATGGCCCCTCCTCGCAGGAGGAGGCCAGATTTCAGATGTTCCATCACCATATACCTACGAATTAAGCTACGGACTGCGATGCGAAGACCTCTTCACTCTGCTGACAACTGCGCTCTGACAGGCGTGCACTGGGGGATCATCCATCATCAGCCTGAATCCCCGCCCGTGCCCTAAGCCGGGAGCGATCCAGTGCGACGCGCGGCATCTGGACAAAAGTCCAAACACGTCACGTGAACCTTTCCGTCTGCCCGGCGTTGCACGATGCCGCGAACTCGATCGACGATTTGGGGTTCTGCGCATACTGCCGGCCAGCGTTAGCAATCAGACAACATGATGCGATCAGATGACGACATTGACCCACGAGATATGACTGTACGACCCCCATGTCAGCCAAGCTCTGTATCGGTTAGGTGCCCTGCATCCATACCCCTGTACGTCACGACGATCTGCTTCCCCCGATTGACAAAGTCCGCCGTTCCGGCCTCTCGCGATAAAAAGCCGCCAACCACAAATAGGTAAATATGGAGTACCTGTAGGGATGTTAGTCCGGTCCGGTCGTCACGAGAAGCACAGGCCCCCAACCCACTTGACTTTTTTCGTCGAGCTCAAGCAGCTGCTGCATCCGGTCAGCCACCCACCCGAGCTGGACTGCGACGGCTTGTCAGTGGGACGCGGCGCATGGGATGAATGGCTGTACGCACTTTCGGCATCCACTTGCCAGAACAATGTGACCCTTTTCGTCTTCACACCACAGTCGTAATAGCTCCTGAGGAGCTGTGCGACGTGTGATAGCTGACCGGCGATTCCTATGCCGGTCGCGAAGAGGAGAACATTGTCATAGGAGTCCAGGTTCATCTCTTTTCCGTACGACCCGTCTATCAGGGCTCTCGAGCGGAAGTTGTTGTTGAGCTTATTGTCCTTGAAACGGAAGACATGATCTGTAAACCCCCTCTGTTTCTGGGCAATGAGGACAATGTAATTGTGAGGGAACGACCACGTGACTTTTATGCTTTATGAATAACGTTAGTGTCATTTTATGAAGACTGTACAAATAGCTTTAGTGAGAGTTTTCCTTACGAAGCTCTCTCTTTCTCCTTCCCTCCTCGTAAACAATCGTTTTGCCCAAGTCGCACCCGACCTCTTCGTGCCCTTGTCCCATCACATATTGTTTACCAGTACCACGACACGGCATATCACCGTCCTCGACGTGAATATCGCCGGTTTCCCTCCAATAGTCACCACTCCAAGCTATCCAGGCCAAACCAACGAAACCAAGCAAACCAAACGAAACCAACCCAACGAGACCAACCCAAACGAACCCAACCCAAGCGACACCAACCAACCAACCCAAACGAGACCAACAAACCAACCAAAACGAGACCAACAAACCAACCAAAACGAGACCAACCAATCAACCCAAACGAGACCAGACGAGACCGACCAACCAACTCAAACGAAACCGTCAACCCCACCTACACCAAGCCCGCCACCGTCAAGTCAATAACGCCATGTTTAGCGCCGCCGTCACTCCCGTCGATCGAGTACCCCCCTGCCCTCTCCTCAGCGCCAGCAACACCGAAGAAACCTTCCGAAATGCCTTCTCAACCAACCCAACCGGCCTTATGAAAGAAGTCTTCCTCGTGTGAAACGCCGCCTACGGTATGCAAGCGGTAATCGATTCTCTACGTGCCTCAGCCGCGACGACAAATACACAAGTGGAAGACCTCCAAAACCGCCTGGAAAATACGCTCATTGCTAAGAGTGATGGAGACGCAACAATCGCCCGTTTGATAGCAGAGAACGAAGCCTACCTAAAAGTTATTCAATCAGGAGGAGCCTCACACCGCACACCAGAACACCCCGACCCCGAAACCTTCACAGGAGAGGACCCTACTCTCCTGCCAAATTTCCTTCAGCAACTCGAGCTAAAGCTAGAAATGAACAAAGATTGGTGGAATTCGGAATCTCAACGCATGGGATACGTCGTCTCGTGCCTCAAAGGTAAAGCACACGATCAAGTCAGCTACAACATAAAAAATGGCGTGGTCCTCTTTGACAACGTCAACGCTGTTAAAAACGTCCTCCAGTCAGCGTTCGGAGACATTGACGCCAAAGCCACCGCTCAACTCAAGATCTTTGTGTTGGAACATCGGCGCCAGGATCCCGCGGGCGCGAGCAGGATGGTCAGTGCGGCCGGTGCTGGCAGGGGGACTCCTCCCGGCTGGTGCTCAACCACGTGACCACCCTGGCATATACCTTCGCGCCCGACTGGCGTGCGCGCCCCTTTCCTTTACTTGAATCAATCATCATCGACTATCAGAAGCTTTAATACAAACGGTATTACGGCTTCCCTTGTCGAGTCCCTATGGGGTTATGTTTTCACCCCTGTGAGACCTACACTGATCAGTGGTAAACTTTACAGTTACCACTTGAATACCGCAGATCAGCAAGGAAAACACAGAAGAGACGGCAAGATCTAACCGTTGACAAATCCCTGGTCAACGGCGGTGAAAGGTCAACCCGTGCTAACGAGGATCACAGAGCCGGTGACGGGCCTTAGTAACAACAGGTTACCGAAGGTTCGAAGCTCCTCGACCCTCGATCCCCTCGCAGTTCTATCGTTACGACCGAGAATCCCTCTTCCAGAGGGTAGGTGGCGATACCGGATACGCCTGGGGAGCGTCCATCACGCACGACTTCACGGCTCCCGCGATCTCTCGCGGCAAGAGCAACGCAGCTACGACGCGTCCCCTCGTTTCCAGCGGACGCAGCAGGAAACGCCCTTTTTCCTTCCATCCCGCTACCACCCCTATTCCCACCAGATCCCACGATACCCTCATTTTCACGCTCTTCAAGCTTTGCCAGCGGCGCAGGCGGTGCCTGCCGTTAGCTCCGAAAACTCAGACAGTCCTCTAACCGGATCAGAGTACTCCGGTGTAACAGATACTTTCAAAACGTATCGTGTCTCAGGACATCTCAAAAACCCCGCAGCTTTCTCGTTTCACTATCCGGACATCCGGACCGTCAAACCGGACAGTCAACCAGACTAGACTTCCTCGCCAAACTCAGCTACAGACGCCGCCGCTGCCTTGGGAGCTGCCATGGAAGACACAGTCATGGCGCCAAGCCTGGCACCCCTTCCGATCCCCCTAAAGATCTGGGACAGCGTTGATCCACCAACCTGGGGAAAGATCAGCGCTTTTGATCCCACCGATCTGGATAACACCCCGGAGCAAATTGGATCGATAATCGGCTACCTTATAGAGTGCTATAAGCGACGGCATCTATTTGGCCAACTCCTATGGGAGGAGATCAACAGCGACTTTGAAGAATGGGAGGCAGAAACGTTTATGCTTGCCCCCAACTCTATTATCAGGTACCTCCGCGAATACCTGCTTTGCCAAGGCGTCTTCGTGGCTACCGACGGTAACAGGATTGCAAACAACGTATACGAGGCAGTGAAGAGAGGGAACTTCCGAACATGGACAAATGCAGAGATGACCGAGGTTGCTGGCAAGAACAGTACTTTCCGGGAGAATCTCGCCGATCCCGATTTCTTCAGCGACATCAGCACTCCAATACGGCCTTACATACCTCCATCTGCAACTACCCCTGTTTCTATCCGTCAAAGTCCTGCTATTAGCCATCAAGGCCACAGCAGCGGGTATCAGGATCGACCGCCAGTCCCTGCAGTCACCCACAGACATACGCCACCTACAGTCATCCCCGGTCACATGCCATCCCCGAAGCAGCTCACAGACCTCACTAAGCTGTACACCGACGATATGAAGTATGGAGGCGGGATGTACGACATCCTTGAATCCAAACTCTTGATCTTCAGGGATAACTGCCATAAAGCTGGCATCCCTCACGCCCTTTTCGCTGGCGCCTTCTCCATTATGTTGAAGACCAAGGCTCTACAGTTTTACTTCGCTCGCCTGTGTAACGTCACGCCTTCCCCTGACTTCCACACTATGGTCAGCCGCGTCAAACAACACTTTGAGACCGAGGAGTCACGTCAGGTCTACCTGGCGGAGTGGCGGAATACAACCTTCCTCCACATCATCCACGAGAACCCTGACAAAACCAAAATGGAGTGCCTGGACCTCTTGCTCGAGACACTGATGAAGGTGCAACAGGCACTATCAATCATCCATCAGTCTGATGAAGCCCTGCGAGACCAGGTCTTGAGTGCCTGCCGCGGCGTCAGGGAATGCGAGCTCTGTCTCTTTAGCCCGGCACCTACCTTTTGAAGGTGTCTGCAACCAGCTTCGATCAGCCATCGGAACAGCTACGCAGTCAACGAACCAGCAGTCCAATGCCAGTGACCAGTACTGGACCGACCGCACCTACAGGGGCCATGGCCGCGAGTCACGATTCGGTCAGCGCCAACGGTCACACTCTGGCATCAGGCCTGGCAGCTCTTCTTCATGGAGACCACCTGGCAGCGTATCTACATCATCACCACGGCCCACGCTGCCTGCCACCCCTAAGAAGTGCTATGTCTGCAGGAAATCTGGATGCTGGTCGACAAAGCATTCGAACGACGAACGCCGACGCGCGTATGACAGCTTCAGAGGCAAGTACCAATACACCCAGGACACGTCGATGCCCTCGTTCAACCACTTTCTCGCCTGGCATGAAGGCATTGAGGGCATGGACAGAGACGAAAACGATAACGACGACCCGGACGCCCAGTACTTCCAAGCCTTGGGAATCGCCGATGACCAGTATGGGGCGCTGCCTAGAGAGGAGAGTGATGAAAGTCAGGAGTTCATGACTTCCTACTTTACAGGCCCCGTGAACGGTCCGAAGATCGTCGCTGGCCTCGCAGACCAGGCTGTTGCACATGCCTTAACGAAGGAGGATCTCCACGGCCAACAGCTGCCGGACGACGCTGCGTCAGTCTTCTCCCTTGAAGGCCGCTATTCATCACGCGGTTTCCAAGGGATCATGCCAGATACAGGCGCAGCAGGATTCTCAACCGCAGGCCACCCGCAGTTCGTCGCCCTGCAGCGTGAAGTCCCCGTTACACTGGACACATCAACAGCGGGAGATGCGAAGATCCGCTTCGGCGGAGGGGATCCCATCGACTCTATTGGTACAACGGTTGTATCTACCGTCTTCGGCAAGATGTCTTTCCACGTCATCCCCACGGACACCCCTTTCCTGCTCTGCCTCGAGGACATGGACCGGATGGGCATCCAGTTTGATAATATCCGGAATGTCCTCCGTCAAGGCACCATGACCGTACCTGTCATCAGGAAATGGGGTCATCAGTGGATGCTCTTGCAACCCGAGCGATCCCTCGCCTGGAACCACCTCACAGACGTTGAATTACGGCGACTCCATCGCCGCTTCGGTCACCCATCTGTTCAACGGCTACACCGCGTGCTACAGCTGTCCGGGCATCCAGTTGAACTGACCGCTCTGGAGGAGCTGACGAAGATCTGCCGGCACTGCCAACTCCACGCAGGTCGACCTACGCGCTTCAAATTCACTCTGCGTGACGACCACGAGTTCAACTACGAAGTCATCGTCGACATAATGTACCTCGAGGGCAATAAGCCTGTCCTGCACGTCGTTGATTCAGCCACTTCCTTCAACGCAGCCCGCTTCCTGAAGGACATCTCAGCAAAACAGACGTGGGATACACTGCGGCTGTGCTGGATCGACGTCTACCAGGGACCCCCTGACTGGATCGTGACCGACGCGGGTAAGAACTTCCATTCTGCCGTGTTCAAGCAGTCCGCCAGATCCATGGCTATCTCGGTGAAGGAGATGCCCATCGAGGCCCACAACAGCGTTGGTAAGGTGGAGAGATACCACGCACCTCTGCGCAGAGCGTACGATATCATCCGCTCCGAAGACCCCTCGACGAGCCCAGAGCTGGCCCTGAAAATGGCCGTTAAGAGCATTAACGACACAGCCGGTCCTAACGGCCTCGTGCCTACTCTTCTGGTCTTCGGGTCCTACCCTCGTATGACGGACGATTCTGCGCCATCACCCACGACTACCCAACGCGTTGAAGCAGTACGCAAGGCCACCGCGGAGATCCGACGCCTCCACGCGCGACGTCAAGTGACCGAGGCTCTCGCCACCCGGAACGGCCCTGACACGACACCAACGCTGGCACTGCCGCTGCAGTCCCTGGTGCGTGTGTGGCGCGAGAAACAAGGCTGGCAGGGACCCTTCAAGCTCCTCGCCACCAAGGGAGAGACCTGTACCCTTGACCTGCCGCAGGGACCTAGAGATTTCCGCTCTACCGTCATCAAGCCATTTTACGAAGATTCCGATGAAGCGCCTGAAGCGCCACCCTGCGGAGATGCCGACAATGCGATCCAACCTGTCATCGTAGTCGCGCCAGAGCAAACCGCTACCGAGCAGCCACAACCTGCGAAGCGTCGTCCTGGGCGCCCCCGCAAGAACCCACCACTGACCATGAACATGACTGAGACAGATGTCTGCCTGCCTGCCCAATACTACTACTTGGTATTTATATCAAGCAAGGAAGAAGCGGACCATGATCTGGCAAAGAAGCTGCGCGACGAAGGCATCCTGACCGCCCCTGGCGAGCCGTTCGAACAGTCAACCAAGGAGGAGATCGACAGCCTTATCGGACGAGGCGTCTTCGAGTTCACCCAGTTCGACCCTGCGAGGCACGCGGGCGTCCGCATCTTTAAGTCACGCATAGTCAACGAGGTCAAAGGCAAGGCGACAGGTACCCCCTATGAAAAATCGAGGCTTGTCATCCAAGGATACGCAGATGACGGCAAAGAAGTCATCTTGACCCAGGCTCCCACGATCCAACGAGCCAGCCAACGCCTTATCCTGGCAATCGCTCCCTCCTTACTGCTAACTGGGAAGACCCTATGGCTGCGAGATATCACCTAGGCCTACGTCTAGTCATCTACACGCTTGAACCGTAAGATCATGGCCCGCCTGCCTAAGCAGATCGAGAACCAGTACCCGACAGGAACAATCATGACAGTGGTCAAGCCCCTGTACGGCATCGCAGAGGCTGGAACCCACTGGGCGTAAGAGTCCCACGAGCCGGAATAATCGTAGGCCATCCGGTAAAAGGTATCTACAATACCGGAGATCTTCTTGAGGTCTAGCTTCTCGTAATGGGCCTGTCCAGCGGGCGACGCGATCGTGAAGAGAAAGTGGTAGCCTGGGGAATACTGTGACACGTAAGTATCAAGCTCATCACGTACCGCTGCCAACAGGAGAGCAAAGTTTTCTGCTTCTCTTTCGTCCGCTGGATATTCCCAATCAATGTCAATGCCGTCGAACCCCCAGTCTTTCATGAGAGTCGCAGAGGACTGAGAAAATATTAATCTGCCGGCGTCTGGAAGAAACCGGAGCAATAATGGCCATGATATCGTGGGTTAAAGTTCGGGGTGGTATTTACGCGGGAGCGAAAGGGCGGGGGGGGGGGCGAAAAGTGTGTGAGCAACGTAACGAAGAGGAAGCTAGTTTTGCACCGAACCTGGCCTATTTTAGGACTGGAATGACGAGATTCAAAACTCACCAGCTCAGGAAGCGGGATTGGGGGTATCTTTAACACCATAACGTACTTCCTAGATATAGCTGACCCTCGCGCCCATTGGCTAGAGGACGGCTGTCACAACACTGAGTGAATCACATGACGGGTGGCGAGCGGGAACTAAGGCTTTTTGCGTGGTCTTGCAAGCTGCGAGCGAAGTCGGCGGAACGGCGGAACAGGTCAGCGACGTTTTGCTGAAACGGCTTATCTGGTACCATGTGGACTTGTCGCTTTATGGCCCCACTTGCGGATTTGGTCCCCACCTACGGTTTCCTAGCCCCACTTACGGATGGCGCGCCCCGACGGTATACTCAATTATCTATCATTGCTCACCGCCACGACTTTGAGAACATTGTCGTCTTCGTCGATGACCCAGCGGTCAACCCGATACCTGCGATCCTCGGTGGCGCTGCCTCTGGCCACGGCGAGTATAAGACGACGGCGACGCCGGACGTGGAGGGCGATAGCGTCAAGGTCGAGTACTTCACGACCTTCCTGACCAACCACGAGCTCCAGTTCACGGCGACGAGTGGCAAGACGTACCCCATCTCGGACTGGGACGCGATGCCCCAGGGGGCCAGGGACGCTCTTGAGACGACCGACTTTGGGAGCGCCAACGTTCCCTTCAAGGACGGCAACTTTGACAGCAACCTCGCCAAGGCGGCGTTGTAGATGAAACCGACCGCGTGCGCCGCATGTCAGGCCGGTCCTGGCATCGATACAGCGCCCAATCTCCGGGGTCAGCTTTGGGAGACTGCAGTGTAAAGGCAAGGATTTCCGGTTCTTGGGATGTGGCCGGGGAAAGGGCGACAACTGAGTCTTGCGAAGTATTGCTAAGATCCCGATGTGGTCAAAATTTCTGGCTGGGAGTGTCTGACTTGTAAGTGGGGGGTCAGGATGATGGGTCAAGGGGGAAGGTGCAGCCAGACGCAAGGTACTTATCGAATTCCTGCATACGAGAAAACTTGATTTTCATTGGTTGTTTCGGCCCCGTTAGCTCGGCGATGTCTGCAGCGATGACCGAAGTGCCCTTTCTGCAGTGCATCACATGGCCCTTGCCACATTACCGGCTCCGAGTCGAGTCAAACCTGCATCAGATAAGATGCCTGCTGCAAGAAAATGAAGAAGCACTGCAAGAGACTAAAGTCCAAAAGAGCGCTTTGGGGAAGCCTTGTTCAGTTGGTGATCCATCAAAAACCAGCCCGCATCGCAGAGCGCTTTGGCATCCGCCATGGATCCACGAGAGCGAATCTTGAAGCCTTTTCGCGAGCGCTTCCTTGTGGAGAAAAAACGTCTTTCGGTAGTAAGGGAGATAGTTGAACTATACCCAACCAGCATGTCAGTCGAGCCCCCAACTTCGTTTTCCATAAGCGCAGCCACAGCAATGATAGATAATTGAGTATACCGTCGGGACACGCCATCCGCAAGTGGGGCTAGGAAACCGTAGGTGGAGACCAAATCCGCAAGTGGGGCCATTGCCGTAAGGCTTATATTGATGCCCATTGGGCCCATCAAAGGCAATATATCGAACCGACAATCAGGGCTGCAAGGGAGTTCTGGCAGAAGCACTTCAAGCCACGAGTCGAAGGGTCCGCGCAAACCCCCCAAAGTTCAGAGATCGGACAGATAGAGAATCCCTTTCAGCGCTTCAAGGCTAAGGCGGCTGGTGCCATTCACGATCAGTTCCGAGACGAATTCGACGACTTCATTGGGGTATGTTCGCATCCTAATTACATTCTCATTAATGCTGACATGCAGACCAGGCACCACCTCACATAATCGGCGAACAATCAGCCTTAAGTTGGTGGCTCGAGTCGGCTCGCCAGTTTGTCTATCCGAACCTTAGCAAGATGGCTATCACGATCTTCTCGATCCCGCCAATGTCAGCCGAGCCGGAACGGGTTTTCTCAGGCACAAAGCATACCATTGCGCCTGAGCGGATTCGGCTAGGACCAGAAATGGTCGAGGTCAGCGAGTGTATAAAGAGCTGGGTGAGGATACCACCAGGCAAAGAGCGGGCTGTATTGAGTGGCATATTCAGGAATGCATTACAGGTTGAGGAGGCTGCAGCAATACTTGAAGACGCCCGACTAGAGTCAGACAAAGACCCTCAAGAGGATCACTTTCAGGGGCCTCGGGGGCCCCAGATGAGACCAATAGGCGTATATAAGGGCCATAGATGGCCTCCCAGGAGTGGGAGACCAGCGATCAATTCCGGTCACCTATCGCACCCATCAGCAGATCTCCTGCGCTGGCATTCTCGATCAGGGGGATGCAGCTCGAAGTGGCAACCGCTGCAAATGCATACCGGACGAGATAGTGACTAGCTTTAGAGAGGGTCAGAAGAAGGACGAAAACTATGAGAAGACAGATATTGACCCGAGGCTTTCCCGCTCTTGTGCTGCATGACGTCCATAATGTACGTGTTCAAGCTAGGAAACGCACAGGTTTGACAAGCTCCTTGGACGAACATGGAGATTACGGGAAGAGGGATCCCGCCTAGGCCTCGATCTACAGCCCATCCGTACAACAGAGTCGATGCGGGCAGAGCGAACGCCATCAAGAACAGACTACCACGAAGGCGGTCTTCCCAAAGCCTGAAGCCCCGCCTTTTCATCCATGACTTGACGACATGATCGGCCAGACGGCTACCAATGAGGGACCCTAGAAGATACCCTGCCCCTGGAGCTAGGTAGAGCAGTCCCGATTGTAGGGGTGTCGTCAAACCTAGCCGGGGATTCAGGATATAACGGATAGGCGTGAGCAGCGAATACATGTTGAAAGCCATTGCCGCAGAAGCCAGACTCTGAAAGGAGAATCAGTACACGTTGTGGTTTTCAAATCCTTGGCTGTCTATAACGTTGCTCACCCACTTTCGGATACCCTCCCCATTCGGACACCCTCCCCATTCGGACACCCCAAAATTCCACCCCCAAAAATCATACCATCAATTCAACCCGAATTTTCAACCCGTTCCGATGCAACGACAATACAGTCCTCCGGATCACTCGGTATTTCAAGGTCGCTGATTTCACCTATATTATCCTCTTTATCACCTGCCTCAATTTGGGCCCTGTGGATAGCTTCAATGTCGGCAAACTTCGAATTTGGGCTAATCCGGACCTTCTTCTTCTTCCTAGGCCTAGCCTCTCCTAGCTGCTGTTCTAGAACCTGAATCCTGCGTTGCTGGGTAGCTATAAGGTAGTCCTTTTTCTCAAAGCCTTTCCGAACCTTACGGAATAGAAGCCGTTGCGTATTAGTAGGTTGATCTAGCTGGTTGAATTGGGCTAGTTGGACCTGTAGGTCAACTGTCTTCCTAGGGGTCGACCATGTAACTGCAGATGTAGCTGTTTCATATTGCTGGATAGCCCTAGATCCAATAGCCCTATCTAGGGTAGATTTGACGCTTCTAGTAGCGTTGGTAGAATTCTCAAGCAGTAGAGGGCTCAGGAAGGGCCAGGTCATAGATACTGGCCAGAGACCTGTTGATTTCCACCCACTGCGTATATTCTGGGCCGTAAAAGCTGACTGGCGAGCCTTCCTATAGCAGGCAAGGAAATTCCTTTTCCCTACTACTGTAGAATCATTCCACTGCTCAAGGTAGCCTAGCTCTTTCCTATAGGCTGCCTTAAGGGGACCGAAAACCGACTGGTCGAGTGGCTGTAGGACGTGTGACGTGTGGGGAGGTAGGAAAACCAGGTGTATATTGTTGGTATAGCAGAGATACATGAATTCTGTAGTCTCATGGCTGCCGTGGCCGTCTAGGATAAGTAGCCTAGCCGTTGAAGGGTTGGTTGGTTGGGTGGATGGTATGAAGATCTCCTTAAGCCAGAAGACAGCCGTGTCGTTATCTGTCCATCCGTTTTCGGTGGCAGTAAACTTCCAGCTACTATAGGGCTGTAGGTCTAGTGGAAACCACTGCTGTTGAACTGATTTTCCTTTGAAAATAACCAAGGGTGGTACTGTAGTGCCTGTCGCGCTGATACACTCAAGGATAGACGTCCAGGCTCTAGATCCCGGCTGTTTTTTCCGTAGATTCTGGGCTTCTGCAGAGCCTAGAACCAGGCCGTTCGATCCCCGGCCTTCTAGGATACCAGTCTCATCCATATTGTAACGGTTAACTGGTTGGATGGCCTTAATCTCTGGAATAGAGAGGTATCTAAACCAGTCCCTGATTACGTTAGTTGTCGCGCCGTTGATACGCTGGGAATCGATAGGCCTAGCCCTCTGGACCTTTATCGATGGGTTTCTGCGTGTAAAGGCTTGGAACCAGTTCTTTCCGATCGTCTGTGGTCCCCCTTGTAGGTGTAGGATTCGTTCTGCAAATTCCCTGATTTGCGAGTGCGTAGGTGGAAGCCCTAGGGCAGCCTGGATCCGAATCCATTCGACTAGGTGCTTTTCCTGCGTCGGGGATAGCTTCTGCTGGGTAGAAAATGCGATGTCCCTTGGTTGGATTCCTTGTAAACGG